ACTTCTTCGTTAATGGAAAGAGGAAAGGAGAAAAGGGTTTCCAACAAATTGCCTCCAACTCTCCACCATTCTAAAGAACCCACCTTCCTTATCAACCAAGCTGTTCTATCTAGTCGCACCTATTGTAGCCTTTTGCCAGAAACAGAGCATGTCAGTCCTGGTGAAAAAATAAATACAAACCCTCATAAAAGTAGACCTGGAACTGTGATACTCTCAAAACGGTCCAGTAAGAGAAGTATGTCAGAAAGCCAGCCCAGCCCACCTGTGATCCCATCCCGCAGGCCTGGATTCCGGATATGCTACATCTGTGGCCGAGAATTTGGGTCCCAGTCACTTGCCATTCATGAGCCCCAGTGCTTGGAGAAGTGGCGTATTGAAAACAGCAAGTTGCCCAAGCACCTGAGGCGGCCAGAGCCCTCCAAACCACAGCCTCTTGGTGGCAGTGGGTCCTCCAGTCTTCAGGCAGCGAATGAGGCTGCATTCCAGAGTTCTCAGGCTCAGCTGCTGCCCTGTGAATCTTGTGGCCGCACATTCTTGCCAGATCGTCTTCTTGTTCACCAGAGAAGCTGCAAGCCGAAGGGTGAGAGGCCCAGAGCACCAAATCCCAACAGTTCTGATGATCTTACTGGTCTTAAGAAAGCTTCTGGTGGTGTCCCAGTGCGACCAAGGACTCTCATCTGCTACATTTGCAGTAGGGAATTTGGCACCCTCTCCCTTCCTATTCATGAGCCCAAATGCCTGGAAAAATGGAAAATAAAAAATGACCAGCTCCCCAAAGAGCTCCGCCAGCCACTCCCACAGAAGCCTCAGTCTCTTCCAGCTGTGCAGTCCAACCAAGAGGGGCCAAGTCAAGCTCAGCTTGTGCCCTGCCCAAACTGTAACCTGACTTTTGCCCCCGACCACCTTCTGATACACCAGAGAAGTTGTAAACCACAACCAAATAGGCCACAAGTTCATCATTTGACTTTAGGGAGTAAAGGTGGCCTGAAAGAGTCCACCGATTCCAAGCAGCAAAGGAACGATGCAGTGCCCACTGTGACTGATAAGGTAACTCACACCCCATGAAATTCCCTGGGTGGCCCCAGGAGCACATTCTGCCTCCAGGGAATGAGAGGAAACTGTCCCCAGAATCAACCGTCTCAATGCTTAGGATGGTTTCTTTCAATGCCTTATTTCCACCTCAATGCAGCCTGTCCAAGTTGACCCCCTGTTGGACTCGAGGGCTTATATTTCTATTGGTAAAGTAGACATCCTTGCCTGGTGGGTTCACAGTCTTCTTCCATTCTGCTGCCTAAAAGAAAGGAAGATGAAAGTCTTTCTTCCCTGATTCCTCAAACCAATAATCCTTGGGAGAGACTGTTACTTGAAAATGAGTCATTAATGCTATGTCTACATTACAGAGCTATAATTCCCGTTCCAACAGCCAATATTTATTACCAGTTTATTTTAGTCATCTACCTTAGGAATTCATTTTTGGCAATGCTGGGTTATGCTGAGTTTATCTTACTAAAATAGAATCTGTGTCAAAAACCCCAAATGACTTTAACAATAATTAAACACTGCAGCACTTGCAGAAATAGACATGCTCTGCAACACGTTGTCTTTTGACACTTACGTGACCGTAGTAAGTGGAGAGTTAACCCCCATGGACACCAAAGCAACTGCGCATGTGTTCATGGTTCTGGGAAGTGCTGAATTCCCACTACTGCTCTGCATCTTGTGTTTGGTTGGGCACCACGCCCTGGCCACCCACTTGGGCAATTATAAATAAGCATGATCCCGGGGTCCCCAACCTGTATGGCGAAGTGTTGTTGGACATTTATCTGAAGTTTCGCCATCCACCAGGATTGGGGAAGGATGCTTATTGAAGATGGCTACCTACAAGACAGGGCATGGTCCACGGACTTTGTCCTACCATTAAGCCAGGGGAGTGGATGTGCTGCTATCCTGTATCACATCTTACAGAATGTCAAATCATGAGAAATAAGAAGTGATCAAAGTCTTTTTTTCTATGGCTCGCTACTTGAAACACCCCACCTGCAGAGTTCTTTAAAGAGACCGTTTTGGGGAAACTAAGGTTACTCAAGCTATTATAAAGGATTAAACCAGAGGGAGTAGAGGGCGAGCATCCTCTATTTTTAACCCAATTTTTCTTCCTTACTTTTTTCAATGCATTATTTTGTCAAAGTCTTGTACTTTCCCCTAACTTCCATTTTTAAAATAAAATGATTATAGACGTGCTGGGTTACGAGATTCCAGGACAATGATCCTAGAGCCGAAGAGTCAGACTAACAGAAGCTGGGTGTTTTCCGATGAATACTGAAGAAGGAATGGCTGGTTTCTTCGCTGAACGAAAACCCGAACTTAAGTGTGGCATGGCCTGCAGGCTGGTCTCATAAACATGATCTGTTTTTCCCATCTTCTGGCTATTGCTTTCCTTCCAAAATGTGTGAGGTCTGCATTCAAAGAGCAGAAGGATCCGTGTCTCAGGGTCACAACCAGAAACTGTTAGTGTATGACTTGCAGCCCTGTTTCCTGATTGTATGCATTTACTTCAAATGTTGTCATTACAGATCTTGAGATAGGGAAAAGTGTGGTCAGGATTCTTGGGCTTGTTGTTGTAACACATACTTTGTGCTCCCAAGAGTAGAGCCAACAGGCTGAGCACAGCATGTTCTCACTCAGTCACGACTGCTAAAAGAGGCTGGCCTGGGCCCACGGCTTCACAAGAAGACATCTCCTGACTCACCCCGTCGTCTGGAGGGGAGGATGTCAGGAGAGGCCAGTGATACCCTTGATGACTTGTGCATTTAGATCAGAGTAAGGGGATTTCATCAGAACAAGGGCAACTAGAGGGCATGGCCATGTCAGAGCACATCCAACCCTGCTCCCACATCTGAAAAGGCACGTGTCAGTGAGAAACTGGCACTTACTGCTGTCAGTCGTGTGCTGGTCCGTTTGAGGACCACGCAGGCTTTAGTGGAGGGCATAGAAAGGTCATCTCACTTAGGGATTCTTTAGTTGCTAGATTTAATGTGAGCTTGGCTTAATTACAATGGAGAAATCTCCTAAGCTGCAGAGAGGCATAAGATTCTTGAAGCAATGGACTTTATTCTTTCACTAAAAAAGACATTTGCCATGCCATAGTGCTTTCAGCAGATAGCCTCTCCTGGGTACAGCAGTTTTTCTTTTGGTTATGATCTGATCCTGTCTATTGCTGTTTTTCTTTCTTTGTATCATTTAAAAATTAGATAGTGCAGTGAATCATACGTTTTCCATAAAGAGCGCTGCCCTATGCATTATTAGATTTCAGAATTTCATCTGTCTGTGACGGCTGACTTTTGGCTGACTACGATGCACATGCATTCTTTTTAAAGTTCAGATGTTTGCTTCATTTCTTCTCTTGTCAGTTACAACAATTTCCCTCTAGAATCTTTGCTCTGACTTCAGATTAGAATCAGCAGTCTTGCCTCATGTTCTCAGGGGGCTCAGTCTTGTTGTGAATTAAGGTGAAGAAAAATTTTCAGAACCATGATCATAGTACTTGGAAAACAATTCACTCCAGTCGGGCAGCAATGACTGTTTTGCTGGCAGAGTGAATTACCCTCTGCTCGGAATGTTCTTCCAACATAGATTGGCTCAGTTCTCTTATGACACAGATGCTCTGTCACCTTTCAATCAAATCTAAACACAAACAAATGCCACTAAGGCAAATTCTCCTCCAAGACCTCGGCGGGCACCTTGCTTTGGCTCTGTCTGCCCTCTAACCACTGTACAGGCTTAAATCGTCCCATTACTTCTCATCCAAAACATAGGGCTGAATTCGCTTCTGATCTCACAGGGAAATCGTGAAGGATGCTAAGCAGTACTTAAACAGGAATAAAGCCCTCAGTGTGTATTTTTATTTAGAAGGTGTGACTGCCCTGGGCTTTGTGGCTCTCCCATTATATGATGTCACCATCGGCATTGAACTCCCTTTCTTTCCTCAAAAAGAAGGAAAGCCTGAATAAGCAACATCTAATTTAGCAAGGTTTTAATAGTGGTACTAATTTCGGGTGAAATTTTGATGCATAATATGGAAACCATAGATAATAATTTTGAATTATAATATTTATTTAGTGAGATCTTTTGATGTCTTATAAGTATTTTCCTAAGTGATGCTGAAGAATATAGTAACAGAGGTCGTTATTGCTCCTTGTTTTAATATGCGTGAATAAATTTTAATATTTGCATTAAATATTTGGGAAAATATTGCCCTTTTCTAGAAGCCATTAGTATTTCATTATTTGGATTTAGCTCCTTTCCAGCTAATTGGAACACAGATTGACAGAATTAATTAAATGTAACTACAAACCAAAATGAATCTTTTGTCTAGCTATCTTTTATTAGTTAGATAATGCTTGGAGTTATTTTCTCAGGATTTTGCTTGTAGCATGTGAAAACAGTGTTCCTAAAATTTCTTTACTTTATTACAAGGTAGGCAATATTTTCCTTTAGGAAAGCTATCTTTTCTATAAATGATTGTCTCTCTGAATGTGAGTTTAAGCTACCTTTGACATCCTAGGTGCTCAGGTTTGAGCTAAAAAGAATCCCATCACATATCTCTTTAGCATCTGGTGCTGCCATCTGGTGTTTTCTTTTAAAGTAATTTCTTCTACACTATCAAAAACATTGTTACCTTTCTCTTTGTGTTACCTCCAAATATATTTGAGAAGGTACCCTGATAATACAAACTCTAGTTACTTAGGGCTACAGTTATATATTAAGTTTAATGTTATAAATTCTGTTCCATGGCTAAATATCTCATGCTCTAAAGACAAAACTCTTAATAGGAAGGTCACAATCGGAAAGACTCAGTGGGACAGGATGGATGTTCTCACGTTGTCAAATGTTTGTGTGTGCGTGTGTACCTATTGGTTAAGAAGTATTTGGAGTTTATTAGAAGGCATAAAAGAAAAGTAACTTTTATTACGTACCATTATGATCAGCACTTTATATTATCTCATTTTAATCTTGATAATATTACTATAAGACATATTATTTTTCTCACTTTCCATATAGAAATTTAGGCAGCTAGTCAGACATGAGCAACAGAGGAACAAAGGAATGGAAGCCCAGTCCAGAGACAGCCCAAAGAACACCCCATTTGTAGTTAAAGAATCCTTCCTGCCTCCCCAGAGAGAAAGGACAGATGGGCCATAATCTATAGTTGGTTTAATCCGGCCACAGACGCTTGCATAGAAAGCACTACCCTAACATGCCCGCAACCTCAGCCTCATTATACAATCATTATAATACCATGTTTATGCCAGGAAGTTCATGAATCCAATTACAACAGACTGAATTCTGGGTAAGTACATGTTCACTAGGCAGAGTTATATAGCAGCCAAGTGTCAATCAAAATGACCTCATATGCCAATCACCTAGGAATGCCTTTGTAACCACCCACCTTGGCCCAAATATAATACAGACCTTCCCACTTCTATGTTGTTACAGTTTCCTTGGCTGAAAACCTGCCCCTCCCTTGGGGCATACTCTGTCTTTTATTTCTTTTATCTTTTCACCTCCCAAATTCCACAGGACTACAGCCTTTCTTAGCATGGCCTGTCTCCTTCTAAAATGTACGTTCAATAAATCTTTCTTTTTCTAAATCTCACTACCTGTAATAATTTGCCATGTCAGTGGAGAAGAACTGAGGGGAAATGCTAAGTGCACTTCTGAGTCGTTACCTCCCACCCCCATGCCGCTGGGGTGACACCTGAGTTCAAGTCGCCCCTGAGCTGTAATGAAAAGACTAAGGTTAAGCAACTTCCCCAAAGTCACACATCAGTTCTGGTAGTGGATATCAGAGCCAGATCCATCTAATTCCAAAGGTCCATATCTTTTCACGTCACTAAGAGAGAGGCATATGTGTGATACAAAAAGCCATACTGTGAGTGTTAAGTAGGAAAAAGAGGATAGAAGTTTGTTGGTTGTTAGGCATTGGCTAAGTACTAAATACAGAGTTATAATAAAGATAGATACAATCCTTGATCTCATGAAGACTT